AATATTTTTAATAAGGTGCAATTCATTGAGTATCCGCTAGGGGACACTGTTTTGATCAGAGAAGAAGACAACAGCAGCCTCAGTCTGTCACTGAGACAGACCCATGACAGCAGACGCTATCAATAGCACTCTCACATTTACACATTTAATAGCACTCTCCTTAGTTTGTAAGGTGTAGGCAGGGATTACATTTAGATTTTATATGCACGTGTAAATGCTTTAAAACTTGCTTTCTTTATGAATCTTGTTTAATCTTAAAGTGCATTACTATATTTTTCAATACCAATTACTTGTTAAAGTTTGTACAATCAGTGGGATCAGTTGCAATGCATATATGTGAATGATAAAAGTAAATTGCACATTTGTCGAAGGAAATGTAAGGTGCTTCATGAAATGTTTTGTAAAAGATATGTTCATTAAATTTCAACATTTTCCTAATGTTCTTGTGCTTCTTTATACCAAAACAAAGGAAAGACATATTGTTTTGGTTATTTATAGCAAAGTATTGTATCATTTTAATGGTCCGGCCCACTTGACATCTACCGAGGCCGTATGTGGCCCACCATGTGAAATGAGTTTGACACCCCTGGTCTATACAGAAACAATAATAACATGTTTTAGACTAATTTGCAGATATTGGTGTTTTCAGGCTCTAAAAACATTGGTGTGATTCATTCATACAAAACATCAAGACTTATTACCAACTGCTGTGAAAACAATTATCAGCCTAATCCAACTAACACTGGTCAGGGTAGCCTGCCGCCACGCAATCTCGTTAAAGAAAACAGACAACCATTTACTCTTAGATTCAGAGCGATGGAAAATGTAGCGCTGAGCCCACGAAGACGTGAACTCAAAGCCTTCGATCAGCCAGTACACCACTACACCATGATGTGACGGTTGTAAAAAATGAATAAATAAATTTGAAAAGACACCTGAAAATCCATGCAGTACGAAATATGGCCATACCTGGACAAAACAGAAGAACTCGGACTTCCTTGACGGCTGGGTGATTGATGAGATGGTCAAGGTTCCAACTGAAAAGCATGACCTGATTTATGGCCGAGCATCCATTCAAAGCACGGACGTGGCGGCTTTCCAGAGAAATATTCCAAACATTTAAGTCAGTGATATTTCCAAAAAAAGGCTCCGTGAAATTCCCTCCAAACGAGTCTTGGTCCTGGCCAAGAATAAGTATCCCATCAGCATGGATATCTCGAGAAGTGTCTGAGCTTGATCCCTCGTCCTTCCTTTCACCATCCACATAGATGGCCCACAGACTGCTGCTCCAAGTGACACAGATGTGATGCCATCCACCATCATTAGGGAAACAGGCTTTATATGGAAGGTGTTTCCCGTGGACAATGAGTGCCAAGAGGATCCGTCCCTGCATGTCACCATGACCTCGTAGTAGGAATTCATTGGTAAAAACACGTGCAGCATAGGAGAAGATGGTGGACACTTCATTCCATTCTGGGTCCCACTGAATACGAACACACACGCTGACTGATGACAGAGCGGGGAAGGGCCTATTCACACGAGCAAAGCCTTCTCTGGATGTTTTGGGAAAATTTAGAGCTGAGAACTGCAAATCTAAATCAAGACAAAGGAATAATTATTCAATGTTGCAAATTTGCAGCAGGTATACCGATTGTACTCCGCCACTGAGCTCACTCACACTGCTTGGACAGGGGCAAAGGCTCGGATGGCAATTTGGAGGGATTGCTGATCCAGACGTGTGACTGGTGTCCGGCCTGACGCAGCAACTCCAATGCCCCTTCCCGGAGCTCCAATTGGTCCAAGATGGCGAGTGAGCTAAACTGACTTCTGCAGGAGCTTTCGGCCCTGGAAAAGTCTAGTGAGTCATTGACCAGCACGAACGCCCAGTGAGAGGATAAGTGAACCAATTTGGACTGTCCTGGGGAGTCAGATTTTTGGCTTAGACACACACATACTCATCAAGATGATTTAGAAGACGTGAGGTTAGATTGAAGGATTGCTAAACGTTGACTTACCATGCGAATCGCCCACTCTGTCAGTCCCAACGTGAGTTGGCTCAGTCTCACACACAACCTACAGGAAAAAGTCAAGTTGATGTTACACTTGTCATTTATTTTTTGCCATCACTTGTCATCGTTAAAATCCTTCAATATAGTGTCATTCATGATTACAAACCTATGAAACAAACATAATCTTTGGATAAAGCTTTTATATAATGTAGTGTAGAATGAGAAGCTTATTACCACCACAGAAAACAGTATTAGTGCAGCATGCAAGGCTCCAGTCATCTCTAGATCAGTCTAACGCCCGGTCAAAACAAAATCCTTGTCCAACTTGGTCCTGGTTCACAAATCTTGAAAGAAAAATGTGCTGTATTAATACACTGTTTAAAAAAAAAAAGTGTATCGGAACAGCTATTCGAAACGTTTCATCTCACAACAGGACAGAAGCAAACCACCGAACAACAGGTTGATATAAAAAATCAGGTCTTAGGAAAGATATGACTTGACCCCGTGTTTTTCAGCAAAGACAGCTGAATGTCACTCCCTAAGTAATCTGGAAACAAAATCCACATCTGTAGGACAGCTGTAGGTAAATCCATCCAGACTCGTCATCAAGAACCTCTGCCTCTACGTCCAACATATCCAGCAGGGGTCTCAAGACTGGCAGACAATCAGCAAGCCCACCGGTCTGTGTGACGGGAGGGACATCTATTCGAACTCTTCGTTCTTCCCTCCTTCCTCCTCCCTCGCTCCAGACACCACACCCCTCCTTCTCTAACACCCCGAAGCCATCTAGCTTTGTCATGCAAATGCGGTCTTTTTTTTTCCCTCCAAAGAATCCTACTTACGCAAGCAGTGTCAAGTATTTGGCAAAGAGAGTTCATCAAGAGCAGCAGGGGAAGGGACATTTTTATCGCATAGCTCTTATTTATTACTGTACTTCTATATGACTCCAAGTTAATCAAAATAGTTTCCTGCTTCATGGTAGGTAGAAGATTAGTTCTTAACATTCGAGGGATGCTTTGGTTGCATTTTTTAAAATCCCTCTTCCATTAATGAGCATGTGTCATCAACCTTTATGAAGCTGTGAGCTGCTTCTTGGGTCGTGATTAACAAGAAGGGCTCCCAATTTGAGACACACTTTGAAAATAACAAACGTGCTCAAGCAACCTCAAGTATGTACTTATTAACAATCAATTTTACGTGTGTATGTGAAGACTGATATGGAAACCGATAAATATCAATCGTCATCAATATCAAAGTTGATTCTATAAATTTAGGTCAGTGTTCACATTATCACATGGTCCACCCATGGGCGTCATTCGGCCTATTTTAGGGAGGCTTCAGCCTCCCTAAAAATGTCTTTAGCCCCCCTAAATAATTTCATTGCATTATTTAAAAAAAAGTATTATTTATTTTTCCTGTACTTTTGCTAATATGTTGCATCAAAATCAATGTAATGTGGCCATTTTAAATTATATTTCGATAACCTGCCATCATTGTGATGTTAAATCTCCCAGGTTTCCTGAACGCAACAGGTGTTGCGTTAGCATTTGACGTGTCTGTCACCATCGCCACATCAAATGCTAACGCAACAACTGACAGTTCATTGCCGAAAGTCAGGTTGAGTCGACAGCATGGATATTCGACAGTTTTTTAGAAAGGTAAATTAAGTATTCAATGCATCCATGCTGGTAAAACTAGTGACTATAGTCC